CTCCCCACACACCAGCTCTCAGTGGGGAGGAGAGCAGAGTAATGAAGCCAGTTCATAGAGGGGGATTATTAGGAGGCCATGATTGATAAGGGCCAATGGGAAATTTGGCCAGGGCGCCATGGTTACACCCCTACTCTTTTCGAGAAACGCCATGGGATTTTTAATGACCACAGAGAGTCAGGGCCTCGGTTTTACTTCTCATCCAAAGGACGGCACCTGTTTACAGTATAGTGTCCCCGTCACTATACTGGGGCATTAGGACCCACATGGACCGCAGGGTGAGTGTCCCCTGCTGACTCAAATGTTGTTTCTCAATTGTTTTGGTTCTTTCTTTCCTAAATAGCTGATGTGACTCTGGACCGCAACTCAGCACATCGCAGTCTCATCCTGTCTCCCGATGGGAAACAAGTGAAAGATGGAGACAAAAATCAGAACCTCCCTGACACTCCACAGAGATTCGATCCTGTTGTTTCTGTGCTGGGCAGGAAGGGATTCTCCTCTGGGAGACACTACTGGGAGGTAGAAGTGGGGGAGAAAACCGAGTGGACTTTAGGAATTGCAAAAGAGTCCATCAAGAGGAAGGGGAAAATAATACTGGATCCCAAAAATGGTTACTGGACAATATGGCTGAGAAATGGGAATGAGTTTAAAGTTCTTGCTGACCCTTCTGTCCTCCTCCCTCTGAGCCTGAAGCCCCAGAAGGTGGGGATCTATGTGGATTATGAGGAGGGACAGGTCTCCTTTTACAATGTGGAGACCAGAAATCACATCTACACTTTCACTGACACCTTCACTGAGAAACTGTATCCATACTTCAATCCCAGCATCAATGATGATGGCAAAAACTCTGCCCCACTGATCATCTCTCCCACTGAGAAAACCTGACTAAACGTGAAATGTATGTTTCTCATTATGCTCCATATAAACAGTTGATTTATACATTTTGATGATTCATCGTAACTTTAAATAACATTTTTGTGCTTTAATCGTAAAAGTAAATTAAAATTAAACTGGGCACAGTGTTTTTTTTAAAGGGCAAGTATAGTGTATAGTCATCTAGGATTTATTTTTTTTTCATACACATTCAAGGTAGGAGAAGTACAGTAGTTGCATTTCCAAGATGATCCTGTTTTTTTAAAACCTTTTTAGATTTTATGGTTTTAACTATGTATGACTGACATTTTGTTGGTATTTTCTTTAACATGTACTGTATTATACCCTGAGAAAGTGTCTGCTATGCAAATAAATGATAACAGTATGTTTTGTGGCATGGGTCTATGTACTGAATCTCCAGAATGAGTGAGACTGGTTGCCTTGTTATAAAGATCACCTCTGAAGCAGATCTTATACAGTATCATCATTAAATAAGCTATTTGGAAAGATTTGGAACATATGCCACTTTGGTTAGGTTCTTGAGTTCACTTACTGTAAGTCAACAAAGCCTTCATTTTAGAACTATAAGGTGCAAGGTATTTTAGAACAAAAAGAAAATAGCATCCTAATACAGCCACACTGCCAGGATTAACAGATGCTGTTGTAAACGGATATCCTTATAAAAGAAGTACTTTCACTTCCATAGCATGAATGAAAAGTGTCAATTTTGTTCTATTTAGAATAAATATAAGTATTTACCCAAGGCTTTAAATTAATATTCTTTTAAATTCTAACATTGTATGAATAGCACACAATTACAAGGCCTACTTGCTGTAGAGGCATCTATAAATAGACACAGCTGAATGAAACCACATTCATAGAGCCTTATCTGTTGTCACTGGCTAGAACGCTGCCCAAGAGAAGACCACAGGACACAGACACACTGCTATTCGCTGCCCTGCAAATTTGTATGATAAGAGCATGACTCCTTATATCCCAGAGAAACTGTGACTGTCTGCAGGACATCGCTTTTGAAGATGGACAACATTTATGAGAGTATAGAGCTGAAATCCACTGATGTCTATTCAACACTCTCCCAGCTTGGACCTGATGCCCCACACAAAGGGAAATCACAAGGTACCGTCCTGACCCTTATCATGAGTGTTTATCATGAAGTAGAATTTCTCTGGGAAAATAATGGGCCTGAAAAGAAAATGTCTGATGAATCCAATGGATTTTTCACTCAGATGTTTATCAAGAAATAAACCAGCAAAATGTCTGGGGTATAGTATAGACTGTGTTCCATATTACATAGAAGAGGCAGAGATGTTACAAAAACTAGTACCACTTAAAACAAATTTCGGGGGTAAGACTATAGCCTATCAATTGCAATGAAGGACATGGGAAATATTGTTACAGCTGGAGCAGCCAATGGAAGTGTCTCAAAGAGACAATGGTTAATGCCTACTGTAGGTAGTGTCAACATTTCCAGCTTCAAAGCAAAGGGGGGTGTTTACTGAGATGTAGGGGGTATAGTTTCGTAAATCAAACCAATGGTTACGTTCACTTTGGTTTACCTTGGTTCAGTTTTGGGTAAATAGTTAAGTGCCAATCAGCAGTCCAGAAAGACACCATATAAGAGAGCAGAAGATCAGAGCACAGAACATAAAGCATGCACCAGGCGAGAGTTCCTTGTTCAAGATCACCCGAGAAGACCACACGGAAGCTAAACGTTTGATCCGTGTTAACCTTGATTAAAAGCGACCTTTTCTGCTTTGTGGGTGGATTTTAGAATAGGGAGATAACCTTACCAATTATTGGCATCTGGGTTGAAGATCTGTTCGTAGGTTTATATTCAATTTAGTTTAGAAGGCAGCTTCTCTCTTCTTTGGCCTCTGTAGGCATTGTTTGAGAGTTGAATACTTGGTAGCAGTCTGGGGGTTTTCCGGGTGGTCTAGACATACAGTAGGTCTCTGAAACGCCTTGTCTGTCAGCCTGTAAATAGAGAAATGTGTGTGTTGTCTGTTTATGTTGTGTGTAGTGAAGTATGTGTTTTGCCATCGGAGGTGTCATTAATAAATATTTGTTTAGCCAAGAGTGCCTGAATTATTACTCTTTTCACCAACACTGTGCCAGAGAACAAAGAATGCATGTACTGTAACTATGGCCAGCAGCCATATCACTCTCCAACTCACAACTGGCAACCCACTGAAGCTCAGCAGGTGTGAGCCTGGTCAGTACCTGGATGGGAGACCTCCTGGGAAAAACTAAGGTTGCTGCTGGAAGAGGTGTTAGTGGGGC